TCATTATTGTTTCTATTCGCAACTAAAACTTTGGTTAATAACATATTATTGAGAGTATTGATAATTATAGTTTTCTTTTTCTTCTCTCTTATGAAATAGCACAAACTAACGAAATCTCGATATCGTTGTTTACGCTAATTCTTATATTTCTTTGAACTTATATTTTTTCTTCGAAGGACATTTTTTATTAAATATATATATTTATATTTATATATACCTCTCTTTTTCGCGCATTTCCTTTTCTTTGTCTCATTTTTTCTAAGTCGTATCGTCATTTTTACAATACGAATTTGCCTCTTAAAATATTCCAATTTTGGTTTACATATTTACATATATTTTTTAATGAAAAACATAATACATAGCTGAACAGAAAACCAAATCAACTTTTATAACTTGATGATAGAACAGCACCTGTGAAAATTCACAATTTATGAATCCTGAGAGTAATTCTATATTAACTGTATTTTTATTAAATCAGAACTACTTAATTTTGAAAGAAATAAAATAAAAAAATAATAAAAATGATGAAAAAAGTTAAATCAAAAAAATTCTTTAGGAATTCTTAATTAAGAAAAAATATAATAAATAAAATAAGTACTACAATTTCATCAGTATCACTCTCGGGATACCATAATATTATTGTTATTAAAAAAATAAGAAAAATAAAATTATATAGAATATAAGATCTAAAAGTATTACAAAATATAAAACAAAAATATTTACTTTTTATATTTCTGTAAATATAACACTGTAATACTTTCAGATAATTTTATATTCTTTATTTATTAATAGAGGCAAAGTCATTAATCTGGTCAATATGGACAGGTACATGTTATCGTACTATTTGTCCTACTGCTATAGAATAGAGCTATATTATGTGTGAATTAAACAAAAATATTGTTGGTTACATAAAAAATATTAATACCTATACAAAATATAAATTTTTTTTATGAAACCAACAATTTTAATTTTATATGTACATAGCATACATATACAGGAAGATTCAATAAAAATTAAATATCTTCAGCTATGCAGTACATTCAACAAAACACTCTTGAAAAATCTATTTAAAATTTTATGGTCATAAGTAGAATATGGATATGTAAAATTTGCATGTAATATATTTCTGAGTTTTTCTGTTTTTGTTCTCCTAAATTTATATTTTCTAATAGTTGGTCTGTCATTGAGTATTTATATAATTATTATTTTTTTTTCTCTTATTTTTTTCCATTGTTCAGAAGTTAGCATAAACATTCTTGCACTTTTCCAGTATATGCATTTTGCACTTTTATGTCATGAATGAAATTATTGTCTTCATAATAATAGAAAAATTTGCCAGGTAACGTTGCAGTATCATTATTTACGACTTATCGAAATAAACATTCAATTTTTGTTATTGTAAATTTTTACACTTTCGACAAAAATTATTAAAAAGACATATGTGTATAAAACATTAAAAATGTTTTCATACATAACATTCAAATACATCTATTTTGAATGCATCGAAAGTATATAGAATTTTTATCTTTCATTAGTTCTCTAGTAATCTATATCACACCATTGTACATTTACCCGAAACTTATCTTTAAAAAATTTGAAAATATTGATTATATGTATACAGAAAACAAAATATACTGTACAATTAAAATTTAAACAATTTTTTAAAATAATTTTTTACAAAAAATATTCATTTTGTAAATGCTTGTATAGTATATGAGATGTTAATATTTTTCTGTGATACTTTGAACAATCATTTTAGAGAATAATACAAATATAAAAATTAACATACAAATGTCGATTAAGGCTTTATTTATTAATTTATTAAATTATAAATAATTTAAGTTCACATTAGATGAAGTGAGGCGAAACTAAAAAGTATAATGAGGGTGTAATGAAACAATTCACATTTCTATCTTCTTTACATAAACTTTAATTATTTATAATTTAATCAATAAGTCTTAATCAACATTTTTGTATACCAAATTTGCATTTGCTTTAATCTCTAGAATTTATTCATTTAAAAATTTTAGAAATCTTCTAAAGGTATCCCATGAATACATTAACATCCTATATACTATATGTAAAAGATTTAATATTCTATATCTAATATTTCTATATTTATGTATTGAATAACAAAAATGAAAAGTAAATTAATAACTTGAGTGATACAATAAACGAAATTGAATATATTAAATAATTAGTAAAATTAAAATTGATAAATAATACAAAACAATTTCTTTCAAATGCCCACATTGCGAGCACTCAATATCTTCTAATGGTATATGCTTAACATAGCAATACAAGGAAGACATTGCTTTACATACCATTCCTGTACAAGAACTATCAATTCATATAAACAACATCTTATTAGACTTCTCTAATTATGTTGTTATATAATTTGATTAAACATTTCACATTTGATTGCTCAAGCACTGATTGTAATTGCATACTAAATTGCTGACAGAAACGAGTAAATATACTGATATATGGATCTGCTTAATCTTATTCCCTGAAGAAACATCTCTCTTGTCTTTAAAAAGCTATATCTGTATATATTCTCTTAAAAAACTTACTAGTATTACTTTAAGAATGCTTAAGAATGCTTAAGATGCTCTTAATGCTTTAAAAATCGTTATTAATTCAGCAAATGTATTTAATTAATGCATTTAATAATAGGACTTAAACTAATTAATTATCACTTTGTACGTGTTCGCTCGCATGCACGTAAGCTTTACAATAAACAAATAAATTCTAGTTCACTTTTTGGAATGAAACATTGAACAAATATATAGAAATTGATATCTAAAAGTAATACACAAGACAAGAGTGATATTTAAAATGATAAAGTGAACTATCTTGGACATATTGTGAACACATTATCATGTCTATTTTTTATCATTTAAAATATTCAGCATAAAATATTTTTTAATTAAGCATAATTTTACTTTATCTTCATGATAATAAATCATTAATGTTAAGTCTTTAATTTTGCTTTAACATAAGTGGTACACATTTAGTAGTAACCATGTAATATAATATATGTGTAATATAATATTTTATTTTGTATTAAAATAAAATGTAATGTTTCTTTGTTTGTTAAAAAATGTTTAAATTAAAAATCTGATGATTGCTAAAAAGAAACATTTTATAAATAAAATAATTAAACTTATAATAAAAAAAATAAATTGTAATAAAAGTTTAATTACACCACTTATGCTATTAGCAATAGACAAAATATTTATATAATTATTTACCACAAACAATAAGCAGTCAGATATTATTTACTATAATGTTACTATTATAGCAAATTTTTCATAGCATAATACTTTCTTTAGTAATCCTACCTATTTACATAGCAAATCTTCATATAAAATACCAAAATATTTCAACATTTCCAAGATAATTTTACTCTCTCAATCCTTCTTATTTCAATTTACATTTCATACTTGCCACTGCAAATCAATAACTTTGGTTTGCAAACTATAGACATATCAATAATGGATGGAAAAGTGCCAGATATTCGTAAATTTACTAAATAATAATATCTAAAGCGCACTGAATTCATATTTGAATTCAAATATTTTTAACATATTTAATTTTACTTGATATTCAATTATTAATTACTATAAGTTATATTTCATTATCATACTTGGCCAAATTATATTAAATTTAATTAATATTACTGTGTGATAATAATATTAAAATATGAATCTATCTATTCTAATAGAATTTAAACTATATAAAAAAGTATTTATAATTTATTTTCTTTAATACTTTAATTTTATTACTTTTTTAATTTAATTACTTAAATTTTGAATAATAATTACTAAAACTTTCATTTTGAAACATTATCTATTATTTCTATTAATTCTCTGTAAATTTTATTTATTTTAATATTAATAACTGACATTTTTTTATAAGTTTCATTTTAATAAGAACTATATTTTAAAATAATATTTAAAGAAATCTATTATTTCCTATTATTTTCAACTTGCAATTTTTAAGTTAATTTTTTTTTTATTTAGTTTAGCTTAGTTTTATTCTTTTTCGTTAATATTTAACATGCAATATTTAAAAAATTTTTAAAATAATTAAATTTTAAAAGAATAATATTTTATTATAACAATTTAAACTAAAAATTTTTCTTTCATTTAAATTCTAATATATCTTTTATTTTATATTATAGCATGCAAAGATGTAAATTTTTACATTTTCATAAAAGATATATTTAAATTGGTCGTTTTATTTTATGTTATTCCAAAAAAGTTTGAAATAACTATTGTTAACACAATGTAAATAAAAGAAATACTATTCTATAAATAAATAATAATAATAAATTTCTAAAATTTTTAGGCACAATTGTTAATTAAAGATACGGACGTTATTCTCTATAATGATGCAAAAAAATTATAATAGTATATCACATAGTATCAATTGATACTAACATTAATTGTTATTAATGATATCAATTAATTAATCATAAAATATTATATTGTTTATTTTAGATTAAATAAAAAATCTCAAATTTTAAACGAAAATTAATTTAAAAAAGCAAAAATACTTAGCGTAATATTTGCGTTCCATAAGCTCTATTTCATCCAGCACTCTTCCTCCTGAATACAGTTCACATTAAAAAGTCTTTCACAAATGAGAAATATCACATTTCTCCAGTCTTGATACCCATCACACAAAATGCACTTAATGTCATTATCTTGAAGAAGTAAGTTGCTAATATATTTCATTGAAATTTAAATATATACTATATATAGACATATTGTGCTCCTAAAATTTGAATTCATGTACAATATGAAGAAATTGTTTTGGATATTTATAATATATATCCATCAAAGCCACATATTTTTAAGAAAAAATTATGGAGAGGAATTTTTACCTTAATTGCTTTTTTAAACTTCCAATTAATATTATCAATATTAGACTTGCTAGTTAATATTATAAACATAAAGCATTCCATGGTGCATATAGTTAAAAATTTATGAATCTACTAAAAATGATTGTTTTGTATGAATTAATAGCTAAAATTTTTGATACATATTTTATAAAATAAATAATTTATGATTGCCATCATAAACTACTTTACAAATTTATACTGTGTATTTATAGTACAATCATCCAAAATTAGAGACACTGATGAACGCAATGTCTTATTAAAGTAACTTTGATGTAAAAGCCCAATGCCTACCAAAATAAAACATATACAAAAGAACAGGATATACATTATATTGAGTATACATATTTTAATTTTACATTTCTTTTCTTTTCGTTTTTTATTCATACAAGAAAAATATATTGGAAATGCCATTTGATAGATATATTTTTGATAATTAATTTGTATTTAAATCGTTGTCTTCGTTTCAAATATATTAATCTACTTAAACTATCTTTGGCCAATATTTTCTATAACTTGTATAAAGTTTAGACAAAAAGCTTATGTTAATACAATTAATTTATTTCCCATATTGTAAAGATCTTTTATATTATCTAAAAATTATTCTAAAAATATAAGTATCCATATATCTATAAGTAAATATTGTTATATATGAATAGTTCTCTAGTTGTTTAAAACCCGTAAATGTAAAAAGTTGAATTAAAAAATGGAAAAAATTGTTAAAAATCAAATTTTAAATTTACTGATTACTAGACATTTACTATCATAAAGAATGTCAAGAAAATATTAATTTTATAATAATATAGATATTTTTTGAGAAAATTAGTATAAGTTTTATTTTGTCAGGCATTTAGGCGAATTCACATATTACTTTAAATATATCATGCTTCTTCTTAATCTGTTCCATCATGATCTTCATTTTCAGACTTCGAAGATCATTAATTCTATATCTTCATTAAAAAGTTTTTTCTCGGCAAATAACCAGTCTATGCAGCAATAACTATATAGAGAACAGTGACAAATGACGTATGTATATATATATATATATGTTGATATTATATGTTGGTTTCATCCATATGCTCTTTAAAACAGGTTAATAGCAATTCTCTTACCAACATCGACCACTGCCTCTCAGTCATATTTTACTTTATATGCAGTCATTGGAATCACAAATCACTCGTGACACATTATGTCTGCACATTTACAGTTGGAAGATATCTTAATAACTGGCTTCGTGTCCAGCAAGTATATATAAATCCGCGCCTTCGGATTCAGTCAGTGTGCCTGATTGAACTAAGTGGCTCTCCAGCATCACAACTCTATTAAAAAAAAAAAAAAAA